TTATAAATGCCATGAGTTTAGTGATAGTATGCAAACAAAGACTCGAAAAGATGAGGGATGATGAGTGTGATTCTTTTTTCGATGAAGTCATTTCTTTTTGTTAAAAGCATAATATTGATGTTCCTGATATAGATAGTGTTTTTGTACGCCCAGGTTGCCCACGACATAATATTGAAGAAATGAAAAATTTTCATCACTTTCATGTTGATTTATTCTATTATATCATTGATATATAATTTCAAGAGTTGAATGATCATTTTTTTAGGTAAGTACAGAGTTATTTCTTTGTTTAGCATGTTTATGCCCCAATGATTCACTCTACTTTTGACAATGATAAATTAATTTGTCTTGCTAAGTATTATCCTAAGAATTTCAAAAGTATAGCTCATGGTGCTTAATGATCAATTTCGAAACTATATTGTTAATATGCGCTCTAGCAAGGAGTTAAAAAAATTGAAAAGACTCGGTGAACTTGCACTAAAGTTAGTTGTAGCCAAAAGAAATAAAGTGTATTTATTAGTTTACATGCTTGTGACTTTAGGATTAATTCTTCACGTTGCTACTGCTATAGTTGAAAGAGTATTTTTTGTTATGAACATTTTAAAGAATTGACTGCTTAATCAGATTGGAGACCAACGGATGAACAATAGCTTAGTTGTGTATGTTGAAAAAGATGTATTTAATGAAATTGATAATGAGACTATTATACGGAGTTTAGTATGAAAAATTGTTAGGAATAATTGTATAAAAAGTACTACATTTTAAATATTATCGTTGTTATCTAATTTGAAATTATTTTTTACACAATTTTGTTTCGCCCCCATTGAACCATAATCTTGGGTCCATCCTTGCGCACGCGACATACTTCCTCCCATGCATGCATCTCGAGGCCAAGTTGGCCTCAGGTATGGGAATGTTGGGGGTTGCAACGCGCCCACATGCATGATTTAGGGTCATTTTTTAGCCAATTTTGTAAATTGATTCCTGAACTTTACATAATGTGCATTTTGGTCATTTTTTGTTCCTTTTTAGTCCTTTGCCTTTTCCTTTGCATCCAATTGACTCCTAACAATCACCAATTATCATTTTGTGGTTTGAATCAACTATTAAAATGTCTGTGCATTTCTCCTCCAAAAGCTAAAGAATCCTCGTTGATTCATTGACTTCACCTTCATTCAATGCCCGAATTTGAAGTGATCAATCCAACCCCGTTTCGCTGTATCCTCTCATGAATTTCTCAATGGAACACTCAAAATTTCATCTCAATTTGAGACACTCCACATCCCCTAAATAACACAAATTCCGGAACAATCCACATCCTAGCCAACACTGTAGTTTGCTATTACAATATGGTGCCTTCTACACCAAACTTCTACAAAATGCAGCAGCACAGTTTACAACCCATCACTCTGCAACAAGCTGCAATAGAATAACTTAAGTTAGTACTTATTCGTTGGTGTTGTCGTCTCGCCATTCCCAAGCATCATTATCGTCAATTTTCTTGTTTTAGGCAGTCCTTAGCACGATGAGGCCCTTGCAAATGTAGCAATGATCAAAATTTTTTGCATACGTCGGGAAGTTTCGACCATCTTTCAATTTTAAAGATGGTTCGTCCCACTTTTCAGCAACCTTCGACCCATCTTTCTGTTGGTCACCTTTCCCCTTTCTGGCTTCATTTTTCTTCCTCAACGAAGTATCATTGTCCAACCTTAACTTAACCAGTGTATCAATTGCAGTAGTGGCCAACTGTAAATCCTTCATGCACTACCGATACAACTAAATTTATTCCCACATTTTTGCAGTCACGACATGAAGTTAAAGATTTTGTCCTCCTAGATGCTCCGACATCAAAGAAAATTTTCAACTTCCGACATGCTCGCGATGTTCATTGGTCTTCTTCAGGAACATGTGCAGCATTAAAATACATTATGTACCAAAGAAAATTATCAAGTTTCTTTGCACTTTAGGTATCGTCAAACACTTTAGCTTCTACACTTTAATATTTGAGATTGTCACCGAATCTCTATGAGCAAGAAAAGCCCTTTTCAACAAAGAAACTTCACCTTCTAGCAATGCAAAGCGGCCAAAAATGTTCTTAGACAGGACCGCTACATCCCCCTAGTATGGACGTAAACTTATCATTCGCCTCAGTAATGTAAGTTTCGAAAGCAAGGCTCACTCCATCTAGATTCTATCTCATTTCCTCTGCTTGTGCCACCAAATTGATGGGATTTTTTGCCATTGAGGCACCACGAAATCGTCAAGCATTCTAAGCTGATCTTTAAGATTTTGACTTGCAACCATCTCACTATTTTCCCAACACTTTACAATAATGTACCTGGTTCATTTTCGCCCAACAAAACCGTGTTCTAATACAAATTGTCATAGGGCTAATTTGTTCAATCTGCAATGACGTCGAGTTTCTTAGTCTTCAGCTAGTCAATACACGAGTTTACAAATTCGATTTGTGAAAACACACTATTTTGACTAAGTATACAGAAGATTGAATTAAGGTAAATAAAACACAAAATTTTACGGGAATGATCCCAACTTTATTTATCACTAAAATAGAAGAAACACGTACAAAAGATATGAAGGGTCAACATAACACTTTGTTGGAAAAATCCCGTATTGCAGTTTACACCCTATATTACTAAGGTTTGTCCCAATTCAACCGCAACGCATAACCGCATTGTAATCATCGGCACGTGACATTCTTTGTGCCTATTTGACCCCTAAATTCGTGGAGTGAAATCATATGGACAATAAGGTCTCAATGTTGTCGAACATATGCTCGCATCAACTCATCAATCAATGCCAAATTTGACTTTGCATTACTAAATTTTGTCGTACGATGCTGCCATCATATAAATCCTATATCGTATGCCTCTGTTACAGTCTTATCACAAAACCAATATTTATGTCTTCCTTCATCCTACTTGAATTTGTGCATAGCCATTTTCTCGATTAGGGTCCTAACACAAGGGATGACAATGGACTTGGTCCGCTCGCTGTCTTGGGCATGATTAAACCAAACTTCGGGCCAAGTTTAGAGCCATTTTGGCCAAGCATGTCGAAATGAGCCCGACTCTTACAAACCAATCCAAAGAAACCATATTTAATATCTTATCTCTTGTAGGGAAGATTCGTATTCAATTTTTTTCCCTCTAATTTTCGTAAACAATATTTTATAGAAAACAAAATGATTTATCGACCTCCCAACATTGCCCTTCATGGGCAGAGCTGGCCCTTTGGTCAACTAATTGACCCCAAGCTAAGCTTGTTTATAAATGGGCGAGCCTACCTTGCCTAATGGGCTCAAAGCGTGGGTGATCGTGGATTGAAACAACTTGAATCATCCCATTCTCATCAACAAATATAAACCACTATTTCATCTATGGATAATCTTTAATTGTGTGACGAGTAATTAAAAAAAAGGGAAAAATTCACTTTCCCTACTTTATCTTTACCCTATTTCAAAAATAACAAAACAACTTTTACATTTCAAAAATTAGATTTTTTGACCTATATATACATATATATATATATATATATGTTAATACTTGAGAAAGAAAATCCAGAAAATATGTTGCTATAAAATATGTTGTTCACATCTCCTACATTTTCCACTCCGACTTTGCTTCACCTTGGAGGACGGTAAACGAAATTTTTTTAATCCCCACGATAGGGCACATCGTGACCATACTGGACGATCGATTTTCAAGTTGCTAATAGAATCATACTACATGTACAACATTGGTTGACAACGTCCGATGACAACATCCTACTTAGCATCATCATATCCATTCATTGTAAAAAAATTGATTTTTACATCACACGATATAATTTTGCCAACATATGGTTGTTAACCATTGTTGTCAATCAATGTTGTACACTTAGATTTATTCTTGCTAATATGGTCTGCAAGGGTGTCATTTTTTTTCTGTTTTATTACTGTTTTAAATTTAGAACGAAGATAGAGATAAATAAAATAACTACTAAATGATCATGAAATACTACATGCAATTTTGTTGCAACATA